ATTTTTAACTGCCAGTATACTCTCCTTAGCTCGTAGAGTTGTGCCATCTGAATTCGGAGAATCGACAGTTTTCTGGAAAATTGGCAAAACACGAATTTTTTCTGCGTTTTGGATTGAGAGCTGCGTTTTGTGGCTGTATTGCGTAGTATTTTCCCCTCCAAATTAGCATTTCCAATTTTTCTATTTATATACATTATTGTTGGCACGACGTCACTGATTTCATGCAAGATTGTATGGAATTTCTATTAATCGTGCGAAAATGTATGAGCTCTTCGACATTTGCATCTGGAAAAATCAGTGCAAATGATAGGTAAACTCGAACATGCCACTTTGCACCCAGGTTTCGAAACATGACTACAGAAATGGAGACTGATTATATGATTTCAGCCAGAAGAGCTCAAGGTCGCCGCTCAACTCCATGGCGATATCTTGCCAGTATCCAACGTCATCGATTATGAAGCTCCTCGCGCCATTAATGAAGCCGAAAAGAAAGTCGAGATCTACCGTCACCTCAGACGACTCCGTGCTGATAAGAAGTATGCCGGTATCCGTGAAAAGAGGGCAAAAGAAGCTGCCGAAGAGAACAAGTAAATTGTTGTTGATTTGTGTTATTTACATAAATTGTTATCATTTTTGTATATCCCAATACACATTCGCTATCATCAGACCTCTCGTTACCCCAGTTTTATTGGTATGTTTGTAGGAAAAAGGTTTTGAAGTTTGTGATGCGACCGTTATTGATTCTGGGCTAATTAAGCAAATCTTTTTGCTTATCTTGAATTACCATCGGAGTGTTTGTGTCTCTGTTAGGGTTTTTATTTGACTTTAGGTTCCAAAATCTGTGTCGTGCTGAATCTAACGGCTGAACCATGCTTAGAAGCATGACGTCTTACATCCTCTTGAAAGAAATCTGAAAGAGTCGGTTGTTTTCTTGCGTCATTCAGCGCTCGCATGATAGTAAGCGGAGCTGCATACCCAATCCCATCGAATGAGAGATAGACATCAAGTACATGTTGGATTATTGACATTAAGCACATGATGGAATGTTTTAGAGCATTCTCATGTGCCGTAAGTTCTAGATACGAAAGATTAGGAGGGAAGAGACCATAATAATGACTTGCAGTCTCAAATCGTTCGCGATCTGAGGTTTCAAACGAGACAGAGGAGAGTGCACTAGGGACAAGCCATTTTTTGAAGGAGTAATTCGAGCTTCGATAAGTCAATAATCGGCAAGAGCAAGGGAAGATTTCAAAGCTCAAGAACATTGCATTTCCCAA